GTTTTATTCATAAAAAGTAACTTGAACGTTATATTACTCTCAATTCCTGTTAGCTAGAGGCGTTGTTAGTTCTTCAGCTTCTTTCATTTCATCATTTACTAAATGACTGGCATGTTTAAAATAGTTCTTTATCATCTTTGGAAAAACAGTTTTAAAGCTTAAATGTTACCTTAATTGAAAATCAAGCTGCTTGTAAACGTGTTACTGCAATTTGGCAATTTCTGTACTCTATTTCTATCTGATCTGGCAATTTTATGTTTTATTTTGTAACGTTACTTCAGCTTAAAAATTCATGCTATAATATTTTGATAACATTAGCCGAATAATATTCACAATAAGAGATATATTTTCCATGATTTCGTATACAAATAGGCGGGATTTCGGCAGTTTGATAACAGTATCCGAGTGAAAATATGTGATCACATTAAATGGCGCCTACTGCACTATTTATTTAAGAAATATTGGTACTTAATAAACGCAACAGAATGCCACGAAGTTGCATGCATGAAATTAGATTAATTTTGCAATTTTATTTTTAAATATTTTGGTAAAATGCTGCAAATGACGTTCCAGAAGACGTTATGAAAAACCATCTGCCGAATCTTAAAGACGGCTAGCTAGAAATGGGTTTGCATTAGGTTATTAATTAGATTATTAGAAATGGGTTTGCATTTGGTTAGAAATTGAAACGACAAGGCAATTCATTATCCACAGGCTGTGAAAAAACATTCGCAGCTTGGAACATGCTAATACGACTAGCCTGTAGCCATCTACTGCTGTGAACTCATTTCAGGTTTGTTTTCTGAAACGTGTGGCTAGAAGGCAAAGAACTACAACTGTTTCTCAGCTTGTTGCCAATCCTTTTTTAAACATAAAAAAGAACATTTGCTTTTTTTTTAAACATAAAAAAGAACATTTGCTTTTTTTTAAACATAAAAAAGAACATTTGCTTTTTTTTTAAACATGAAAAAGAACATTTGTTTTTTTGTGAAGGAAAACCTACGCATGCATGGGCTTCTTTCCAAAAGACTGTTACTGCTAATAAACTTTTACTTTATACTGCTAATACTGCTTTTATAAACTGATAGTTTTTGCGAAGATAAAATATGATTATTGTTTTGATTTTTATTCTAGTTGCACTTTCAAACAGAGCACAGTGAAGGGAATGGACGATTGAGCACGTCACATAGGCAAAGAAGTGTGATCAGTATTTTTCACAGAGAAGTCTGACTACCTCCTATAGTGTTATTCATTAGCAATAATAAGCTGGAGGAAAGAGCGAAGAACACGATACAGTCAGTCTTTTATTATTGAACGGGACATATACCAAAGCAGAGCTATATGTTAGTTTGAACAGGAACCTGAAATAATTTAGACTATCCTCATAGGCTGCAGACGTTTGCTAAAGAATATTTTACGAATTCGTACGTAGACGTACACGGGCTGAAACGGATATGTACAGATTTCTCTATTCCTTGAGTCCTTTTGTGAATTGATACTGTGAACTTTTATAAACTGATAATTTTTGCGAAGATAAAATATGATTATTTTGCGAGATTATGGCTTGCAATAATAAATATGTACGCTACTTGTACATGGAGAATAATGATTTTGGTTATATAAATGAAGACAATATATTTACATTGCTAATAATAATTTATTTGATGAATTAAGATGGAGGTTATGAGCTGATATCTCTCTCCTCGGCACTTGGTTAAACAAGAGAAGATGGCCCTTTCCTTTAGAGAAAGGATAGACAGTGCCGTGAAAAAAACTAACAATTTCGTCTAAGAATGACAAAATTTTGTCCTAGACTGTGAATTAGACATTAGTTCTCTTGGCTATTAGCAGCCCGCGAAAGGCAATAGCAGCTGGACAACTCTCTTTTTAATCTGCCTCTGCTTCTCAAACAACGTTGCCTTCGAAACATTGATATTAACTGAATAGGTAGCCAGCTAAAAATTTTGCGCGTGATATTCCTTAGACCTAGTATACTATGAGAGCGTGAATTGCTTCGATGATTTTCTCAGAAAAGGGCTGTTTTTCTGCATATAGTGAACTAGCGTATGCTAGCGCTCATATAAGACTCTTGTTCTGTTCTCTAGTATGTTGAGTCACAGAGCACAAGATGACTGCCGACGTGTATTTCCTAGACAAGTGAGAGGAACATGTTCTCTTCCTTTCAGTATAGGGAAAAATGAGCATTATGTCACCTCTATATTATCATAAGACAGTATCATGTTGGGCGTTTCACTGAACGTTTCCGATATAACGAATTAACTCGGCAGTGGTATAAAGAAAGTTTCCTTGGATTTTATGAGAGAATTGTCTGACGAAGTTATCGGTCCGCAATTTATTTCTGTAGACAGAAACAGTAAGCTACATAGAAGTTTGCTTCGCAGACTGTGCTACATTAGCCAGCATTTCCTGGAAAAGGATGATATTCATCGGAAGGGGTAATTATTCATATGAAGCCCGTTAAGAATTACGTTCTAGATGATCATGTCATAATGTGCCAGTTGAATAAAAGTAGAAATTTTTACCTGCGTTAAAATCTGTTTACTCGGAAAAGCGGTATTTATTGGCATGTCAACTTCTCAGGAACATCACGAATCGCCTAGTATGCTTATAATAACCCTAGTTGACAATCTGTCTACCTCTTATTTCTTTATCATTTCAAAAGTAATTCAACTATAAAATGGTGCTGTATTTTAAAAAAGAAATTTATTTCAGAGCTACCGCTTATCTAACTACCTACAACGAATTTGTTTCCTGTATTTCGGCTTTCCCGAATTTTAGACCTTCTGGCTATTTCGTCAGTCATGCACTAAGGAGCATTTTCTTTCAAGCAATATTCTTCATTTTTTCACCCAGTCTCTAAGGCTCTGAAACGATTTGGCTCATTAATACTACAGGAAGTATTTTTGTTTTATGCTACGGACACTAAAAAATGAAAGGATGCTTTACTCACAATGTTTTTTTTTTTTTTTTACGTATGGTTTCTGACGCCTATCACGGCTAGAAATACTCGTATCCTTTCGCGGAACCCAAAGAAACAGAAAAAACTTTAAACCTTGCTGAAGTCAGTTTGCTATATAATATTTTTCCAGGAGTACGGCCTATGTGAATTCTCTCGAGACCAATTCCATCATCACTGCTTCTAAGACTCATTTTTGATAAGTTCATTTCTGAAAAGTATACTCCTCCATTTTATTCTTAATTGCCGCCTGGGTTTCACGCTGATAGCCTTCGATAGCAGGACAATGTTGTCCTATGTATCGTGGACTGACAACTCGCAAGCGACTTCATATTTTGGAGATATTTCTGGATCTCCAGAACCGTATGTGAGGTCCGTGTTAACTTATGTTGTAGATTAAGTATCATTATGCTCTATTCTTCTAGTCTGGTGATTCATCTAGAATTTTGCTTCTAGCTATTCTTTCCTGTTGTTTATTGTTGCTCTCATAACCATTGAAATACGTCATATAAAACAGTACTGAATTTAGGTCTAAACATAGACGGATCTGCCAGAAATATAAATCAAATCTCTGAGCTTAAGAAATATGTACTGCGCTTACCACATCTTTGCGATAAATCACGCTTTAGAGAACTTGGAGTTGAATCTCAAGACTCCGCTTTTTGAAAGCTTCTCCGGCAGAAAACATATACATTCTCACACGTTTTTGCACGATTTAAATCCTTCCCACCAGACACTAATAGGAACAAATCGCTTAAAAGTTAAATTTTTTGAATGTCTTAACTACAGCTACAGTCCCAACAATTTGGATAAGCTACAGCATTTCTTTCTTGGCACTAAAATTTCGTTTTTTAGTTGTGTATCATTATATATCGCTTTGAGGTGGGCATTTTGTGATTTACCAATTCTTATATGAAATTCAGTGAAACTTATGAGTAAACAGAAATGTAAAATATTGTATATAAAGAGAGTACCTTAGAGACATTTATACTGAAGAAATTTCTGTTCTTTTGAATATTTTATGTTCAGTTTTTAAATTGCTGAGTCTATTACAACCTGAATATTTACGCCTTTTGAATTAGTTTGAAAGCACTTGTGTCCGAGTCCTTGAAAGAGTGTTGATTTTTCTAAATTACTGCTCTTCAAACAAAACCCTACTATTTCTAAAATTTATCACAGTCCTTGCACGGAATTCATACACTTATATATTATACTTTGAATTATTTAGTACTTCTTATTGCTAAATTGTTAATTTAACTACATTTTACTGCTAATATAAAAACTTTCCAACCAGACGCTTGCAACCTGTGGTGATACAGGTTTATTTTATCGTAACTAGTTAGCGTGCTACAGAATGGAGTGTACCTTGTTTGTATACTATGCTTTGATTAAGATTTTAAATAAAAGAATGTTTTAAAATTGTTACATTTGATTAGTCGCTGCGAACCATCGGCTACAGATTCCCATCTGATTCTCCGCGCATAATATATGACTATCATCATGAATAGAATTTTGAAGCTTGTGATATCTAATATTTAGTTAGATTTATTCTGAACAATGTACTACATTCTAAATGAATGAATAAGAGATAGTGAATAAAATATAAATCAGATGTTTACATGACATAATTATGAATTGCAAGAAACAATGAAAATAAGAAATGATTAATTGCAAAATCATGTATACCATTTTTATTAGTGTTTAATAATCTCATTTTTTCTAACATGCGGCTAAGAGAAAGAATTTATGGTATTTTCAAACTCCTTTTAACTTTATTACATTCAGAAAAATGCCAAATGTACTCTATTCGTTTTACGCTACATTCATTAATAACATGAAGTAGTGTGACGAGTTAATAATATATAATAATTTCTCAATAGTACAGTAATTCGGTAAAGATCATCTGGACAATACAATATATTTCGTAGTTATGTTTGAATTTCTTAATCATTACATTCACATGTCATATTAAATAACTATTAGTAATATGTAAAACCTACTCTTCGTTTCTTTATCTTTGCAGGAAAATCAACAGGTTTAGTAACAACAACTAGAGTGACACATGCAACCCCTGCAGCTATGTACGCTCATTCAGCAAACCGATACTGGGAAAGCGATGATAAGCTTGCAAAAGACGTCGGAGACAGCAAAAGTGATTGCAAAGATATTGCAAGACAACTGATAGAAGATAACCCAGGAAAGAATTTTAACGTTAGTACAGAGTTTCACAATTTATAGCAATGTATGGCTATAACGTATGGCTTTAGTTTCTCTAAATTTTATGCTTATGAATTGATAAAAAAAACTTTCTTTTCAAAAGCCTTGCTATAGTAAAGTAACAGTTTATATAGTAAAGTATAGTTGCTATAGTAAAAGTAACAGTTGATATAGTAAAGTATAGTTGCTATAGTAAAAGTAACAGTCTAAATCGATACATAGAACATACCTAGCCATGAGATGTTTGTGGTACATGGATATGATTATATCATTGAGTCTGAAATCCATTGAAAATAGGCAACCTACTACAATCCCCTCAGTGTTTTCTTTATTGTGAAATGCAGTTAAAGGGAAATTTTTTCATGCTACTCTCAGCAAAGTGAGCTTTCTCATTCTGTTAGAAATATGATAACTACTTGGATTGTATCAAATGGATAATTTTTCGCCTGCGATCTAGCTATGTAATAAATGAGTTGCACGTATGTAAAGAACCGCCGAATTTGTTGCGGAAAGGCTGTAGCTAGATTTTAGCGTTGAGAACATTCTATCAGACATGTTTAAGCAGCAAAGACCAGACATCTATGTTCGTCAGTCGTACAACCATATATGATCTTAAACGCCAAAAGCAATTTTATTTTTTAAAATTGAACAAGATATTTAAGAATGTAAAGTGTTAATCTTAAAGCTTTCCCAAACAGAAGTGACGGACATTCAACAAGCAGGTACCATTAACATACCTGAAAAAAAGATTTGAGAAATCCCTAGATACCGTCATAACTTATCAAATCATACTGAACAACACTTGAACATAAAACCGCAATAAGAGAAAGAAAATATGATAAATATACGATCCATATGAGTAAACGTACCATCTATCTCTATATATACTTGTATATATATAAATACAGTAAATCAAAATTATAATTTAAACTAGGAGTAACCCCGTAATTCCCTCCTCTCTATTCTAAAAATCGTAATTATTTTCTGAACTCTGGCATTTCTAGATCATTCCATCTTATCTGGCTTACCAACGCTGATAACGTAGCTAATTCGTTATTAACTGATAAATAATAATGCTGATAACGTAGCTAATTCGTTATTAACTGATAAATAATAATGCTGATAACGTAGATATCAGCTGCCAATGCCGATAACGTAGCTAATTCGGAACTTGAACTCAAAATTTAGACAACTGAACACTTTCTAATCTAAACCAAAGCCTTCTGTTGGAGAGCCTCCATATCGGATAATTGCGCGCTTTTAGCTTCAGCTCTCTTGCAGTCAAGACGCAGCTTTGTGCGGGACTGCAATCAAGGCCTACTTTGCTTCATGCTGTTAACTACACCATTATCTAAAATATGATACTCTGTATAAAACTGGTGAGTGCGTATTGCGCCCATGATCATGTGTGACGAAAAATAATTTTCGATAGTTAATTCGTATCCAGCAATAAAAATTATATTCAATTTAGTCACGTCTGCCTTCAAGTCTCTCCTGCGAGTGTTATCTTTCTAACGACGCAATCCATTAAAACGCACAGAACCATCGTCAATCCGTTGCAGCTTACTCTAAGTCATCTTATTATTAATATATATATATATATATATACGTAATCAAAAAAGACTTTGAAAGTAATATTGATGGCATGGAGACTTTGAAAGTAGAATGCCGATCCATATTGAAAAGCCAACGTGGCAGTCGAGGCGGACTAAATATTCATTTTTATTTCGACTGACATTTTCGCCCACAAATGATTTGGCACTGTAATCGTGCCTATTCAAAAGCATTTACATTTTTCATATTGCTGGGATAGAAAGAGAGCAGTGAAACAGCGATTTAGCAAGAACTCAGGTAGAAGCATAAGTGCACAGGTATCCAGAATGGCAGCTTTTTAAGAGAAACTTTCGATTCCAAATGAGCTACGTCATCAGCGTTGTGCAAGACATATGATGATGCAGATTCATCTAGAAATGACGCAGTCCATAAATAATTCTCGCAATTTTTAAAACAGAGAAGATCTATTGTTAATCATGATTTTGATTACATACTTTTTATCTTGCACACATATTGCTCATAAATCGAAAGAGAGAGAGGATAGAAATCTGATAGCAGTGACAATAATGAGTTAAATGGAAATGTTAGGAATTACGCTTTACATAAATTAGAGTGTATACAAAGTGAGGGATTCTCTATTAATATCTTATCTATTTTTCTGTCTTTCAGGCCAATACATGTGCATGATTTTGAATATACATACTTTAGTAATGAAAAATCAATGTTTCTGTCCATTATGGTTGGTTTAAATGCCTCATGTATGAAAATATGACTGATTATTTACTTTCATTTATCTTTATTATTTTGAAAATTATAAAAGCATTCTGGAAAATTGCCTAAAGACCTGCGGGCGATTTTATAATTAAAAGTGTGCATTTCTTCAACTACTCCATGAAACGAGAGTTGAAAGTACTTTTCACTTTTTAACTTTTTTTTTTTCCAAAAAAAGAGAAAAATGAATTTCTGACTTATTTCGCAGTAAAGAAAAGTATTATTTTAGGCTCCTCTTAAACGCAAGGGGGCCAAAAGGTTATTCTGTTTCGAAGGCTTGTGAACTCAAAATAGTGTATGAGTAACTAACTATATTGAGCATCTTTTGTTCCTAATTTGCAGAAGAAATAAATAGAATATTAATACAAATATTCAATAAATGGTCTTGAACAAAATGTTTTGATAACAGTTTTCTAAATATCTGGACTAATTAAAACCAAAGCCCATTCCCATGCAAAAAATAGATTATTGAATTATATTTTCCGATAAGCTAAATATGCGTGCATAGTAACGCAAGTGAGAAAAATTGGTTTTTATCAGATTTATTTGTCATTTTAGTATAAAAATGTAAAGTACTCTTATACACAAAATGTTAAACAAAAATGCTTGTAAGACAATTAGCTCTATTTGAAATTATAAAGAAAACATTACCTAGTCACTTTCGAAGTTACCGTATACAGTACTAAATTTACTTCAGTATTAACTCTTTCGGTGTCGGGATAGCTTGAATTGTACGAAACGTAGATGGCCTTAGATCTACATGGATAAGAAGAAACAGCGGAATTCGAATTTAAGAAGTTCTGCAAATAGAATAGCTGTTGCTTGCTAGGTTTCATTTTTTAATCAAAATAGTATAACTTTCTTTACTTAAAATGCAACATCACACCGAATAATCAGAAGATCTTTATAATTTTGTTTGCATTACACTACGAACTGCAGAGTAATAGTAATATATTGAACGAAGTGCGGTCCTAGTAGCAAGTTTCCTTGCCCCATGACCATCCAGATCTCCTCCAGTACCAACTACAAATGGGGACGATCAGCGGCCCGGTCATGACCTTTAAAAAACACCTGAAATAAAACAAAATGTAATTCGAACCACAAGGTATAAGATAATACATGTACGATACCTAAGATATATACGATACCCTACCATATAATGATCTAGGCTAACATACGATAGTACAGGGTGTTAATACGAAGTGCAGGGTTACGGATGATGGCGCTTCATGAATTTCTTTCCTACGGAATACACTAACATTCTTTACAATTAAATTCATTTACAGCAAGTTTCGCGTATGTGATGTGACATTTCCGCGAACTTTTTTAATCGAGGAATAGATTAATTTTCTTAAAACGAACAATAAGACGTTTTCAATGAAATTAAACAATGAGATTACCTACACTTGTTAATTAATTATTTTATTTGTGTTGGCTTATATAAATTTAACACCTATTTTGCTTTTATTTTAGTATAGTGGAACCTCGAGATATGAGCACCTTTATATACGAGAAATTCGACATAGGAGGAAAGTAGGAGCGAAAAATTCGTTTCTAAATACGAGCATTGACTCGAGTAACGAGCAGCGATCTAGGCTGTCGGTATGCGTGGCGCGTTTCCCAATCCGGCTAGACTCGGGGATTACTTCTTTCAGATCACTCAGTGTTCTTTGAACTACGTGTTTGTACATTTGTGAATTAACTGTATTTTACATTTAACGTGAAAATAACTATTTCACGATGCCTTCCCAAAAGATCGTTGTCTCAGATAGTGCTGCAAAGAAAACGAAGGAAGCCATGGAAGTTAAAGAAATCACAGATAAACTTAAGTATGGTGTAAGATTGATGGAATTGGCGAAGACTTACAGCCCTTCGACATCTCGACGATCTGCACTATTCTGAAAAAGAAGGAAGAAATTAAGAAACTTGATGTGACCAATGGAGTTACCGTTACTTCCAGGCACTGTCTAAAACTCCTAGAAGATACTGAGAAGCTGTTGGGTGTGGATTAACGAAAAGCAGTTAAATCGGCAGCGATTCGGTGTCGGAAGTTGTCATTTGCGCTAAGACTAAGAATCTGTACTTGGACCTTCTCCGCAAAACACCTGGTACGTCGACTGAAAATGAGATGGTTATGAGAGTTTTGAGGATGCGGAACGGATTAACTAGATTTTCATTATTTTCAATGGGGAAGTTCGTTTCTAGATACGAGAAATTCGCTATATCCCAGCTCAATGCTAGAACGAATTAAACTCGTATTGTACTTTGCATTCTTAACATTCGTTGTTATATCTAAGTAATGATTTACAAACCAGCAAAACATTGTAGATCATATTTGCACTCCTCCTTAATGCGGATATTATATTCATCGAAACTAATTTAATAACTTTTTTAAAATATAGGTATGCTGTTGCACTCGCATTATTTAAATGGGCGAAAAGATAAAAAGTACAACAAGGCTAATTTTGCTTGTCGTAGGAAAAAGGACAAGCGATACGTATAACTGGAATTTCGGATGTGTCTTCTATCTTGGCTAACTGGAGTTCTGTGTAACTAAAATTTAGTCTTCCAAAACTTTTAATTCCTAATTGCAAAAAACGCATAGTATTTATCATGGAAACGATAAACAAAGTCCTATACAATATTTAAAATCCCAATCAAGACGTAGCCATATATTTTTATTAATACGGAAATTAAGAATTACTTGCATTTATTCTTCTATGCATCCTACCTGTGGAAGCTATTAAAGCTACCATCCATTCTCCGAAATAAACTGACAGCGCAAGAGCTGTTAACAAAGATCGATTTTCTCTAACGTCGTCTTCTCTCATCTGTTGTTATTTATTTTGCCGTAAGGCAAAGGGAATAAAGGTGTTTATTTACAATCGTAAAAGACGTTTTCCATCTCCTCGATTGCGAACTGACAGCGGAAAGATAAAGTCGCATTAGGCTTGTTAATGTCACTGAATACGTGTCTGGTTCGTGCCATTAAACCATCGAATAGATCTTTCGAGTGCTCTTTGTTGCTAAATATATTGACAGAGCAATGTGCATGCAAGGAAGAAATATCATCCAGGTTTTTTTTTACAGGATTACGGATACTGCTCTTCATTTTTTTGGCAGGATTACGGATACTGCTCTTCATTTTTTTGGCAGGATTACGGATACTGCTCTTCATTATGCACTTTCTAAAACAAAGCGCAGTTAGAAATATTTTTACCGAAAACACAAAGTTTGTCATTTTAATTATTCTGCTAATCCTTTTTTGCTTTCCCAAAGACAGGTTATTTTTAGAAAGGGAATAACCATAATGAATTTAAAATAAAAAGCTATTTAATTGTCATTTAGTTCACTCGCAAATAAGAGTTGTTATTTATTTTGTTAGTTTATAGAAAGGTTGTGAAGTTAGTAGTCATGTTACCCATTTACAGCAGAAGGACAATTTTTCACCATTACAGCATTTAACCGTATTAAAGAAGCTGAGGATTTAAGTCAACATTTAAATCTCAAAATGTAAATGTAATATTAAAATTAAGTTGATAAAAAATGTGATTAAATATAATGAATATGACAAAGGAAAAATATATTGGTGATATTAAAAAATGCATGAATTTTGTACCTTTCATCTTTGTTCTGATTATACTTAAATATATTGTCTCACTCTTCTTGTATGCATTTTTCATTATCTAATTACACTGACAAGCTATGGAATCTTTATGTTAATGGTTTAAGTATTCGGGTATAACACCTACTGTTTAGTGTAGCTTCAAGTCACAAGCAACATAAAGAACATTTGAATAAAAATGAGAAAATAAAAAAGCAAAAAATCTTAAAGCTTTCAGATTTGATATTATCCCCAAATGGGACGTTTTTTAGCGTTTTGTGTGTTATCTTTATTTATTAAACATGAAAAAAAGCATATCTTTAGAATTTTCGATATACAGTCTCTCGCACTGGAGATAAAAGGTTTTTTTTTTTTTTTTTTTTTTTTTTTTTTTTTTTTGTACAGGTTTACCATTGCTTTCTTTGAAATCGTTGAATTTCTTAATCAAAAAGTCATACATTCTTTACAAAATATGAAATATTTAATAAACCGCATTCCAATTTCCAAATTTGGGCTTCCAAATGCCCCTTATTCGGGTAAAAATGTACGTTATTCAAAACTGGATGGCTCTAGGTACCGTTGTTTTACCACAATGAGAGAAATATGCAAACGTTTACGCAGATTCTTCATTCTTTAATTTCTTTAAATACAATACAGAGGGATAATATTTGGTGACAACAGCTTGAAAAGTGAAACGCCACAAAATGCCAAAACGAAATTAATAGCATTTTTGGGCTAAAAATTATGCATTAAAAATAAAACCAAGAATAAAAATAAATTACTTTCCAATTTATTTAAATATTCTTTGTTAGATTTAGAGTAAAGTTTAAATGCCTATTGTTACACCCTGTATGATTTAAATAAGTTTATGAACAGCATTATTTAAACTATGATATGCAGCATGCTAATATTTTTAAAATATCGTGACTGAAATAAGTAATGATTGTTTCTGGTTTTAGATACTGCATAATGTCAGCGATATATAGCTTGGGGGTTATTTTGACTTCCTTAGTCATATTTAAAAGCTCATACTCATTTAGTATGAAGCCTCTCCATTTCATAAGCTAGCTTTGATTACTACACTGATACATTCAGGCTGTAATAATCGTATTCCTTGAGGTTAGTGGATAGCTCTGCTTCTCCCTAAATATAAGCAGTCGAAGTATCCGAGTCTAAACCATATCTAGACTCATCGTAAAATATCACAAAGTCATTTTTTAATGCTACAGCTTTTGTGTTCTCCATGCTAATACTGACGCAATGAACTCTTTTCTGAAGTAAGCTTACACGGAACAGAATAATTTCTTGTGTAGAGACTTTCCTTATGACGTCGTGTGTGTGCAGACTATTTTTCCTACAAAAGTGTCAGGCGTAGATATAAGCTCCAAGAAAAAATGCCTGGCAGCCTTTCAGTATGTGTAAATTTCAAATAGATATAAGCCTTTTGAAGGATTTACCATTATTTTCTCTCTTATGTCTATCTTACTTAGACATTACTTAAATTACACGAATTCATTTCAGAAGATATATTACAGTTTACGTAAAATATTTCGATATTGCTTCATTTCTATCTTTTCTGACTTACTTATGATTGACATATCGCTTTCCACGGGAAGAATTCCTAATTAAAACGCAAAATGGCAGAATATCTAATTCGAAGATTTTTTATAATTGTATATGCATTTATTAATATTATAAACAAAGAAAATATCAGTGACAACGCAAATAACATAAAATGAACTGCAATAAATGCGAATTTTCTTTGCCGTTTTTTTTCTTAGTTTGTAGTTTAAATAACCATTACAATAATTCCAATAAAATAACTGTCGAAATGACATACAGATTCTTCAATAAATGAACAAAATGTCCTCCAGTGATTTCTTGTAATCATTCAAACATATTATTAATCAATTTAATTACAAGTATTTTAAAACCAGTGAAGAGAATTAACTGCTATTAAAAAAGAGAACTGCTCTGAAAAAACTAAAACTTGAAGAGTAGATCTGGAAACTTTCAAGAGAACTTCCGAAACAGATAATACTAATAAAAATAAAAATTGCTGCTTAGTTGCTATTTTTTTGTTCGCAGGTCATTTTAGGCGGTGGTCGAAGGCATTTTTTACCTCGTCGGGAACACGTGGACACAAAAAATCAGGAGAACGACGGACGCAGAGAAGACGGACGCAATCTGATCGAAGAGTGGCAGAGAGACAAAAAAAGCCGTGGCTTGTCCTACAAGTACGTGTCTCGAAAAAGAGAACTGGACAAAGTGGACCCTGTTAAAGTGGATTACTTGTTAGGTCAGTATCCATGTTTTTTGTTAACTTACATGGAAGTGAACAAGAGTGGCCTATCTATGCAATCCAGATTGGATGTCGATTTCTTGGCCAGTATGTGCCACGATTTATAGTGTTCAAATTAGTTACATGCGTTTACGAAAATGGCTGAGCTTATATAAATTAAGCTAATGTATTTAAAGTTTCTGTCTTGCGGAATAATGTGTAATTATATGTTGCTAAAAGAGGCAGTACTTACTTTGGTGGGTTATAAATGCAGTTATGAAGTAATGGATTATAGGTATACTTTTTATAATTCGATAATTAATAATAAAAGAATTAAATGGAAATGGGCAAGGTTAAATATACCTAAAAATAAAACAGAAATAGTTTTTCAAGTGTCATCTCTGTTTCCCTGTATCAATACTATAACTTTTTTGTCTTTTGATGTAAAGAGAAGTTCAATAAAGTAACTACATGACTTATATTACCAATTGCAAGATTTTTCTAAATGAAATACTCTGTTTTCCGAAAAGGCTTCATTTCTCTCTGTGTCTAGAGCTTATAAAGAAATGAAGCCTAACGTTTTATAAGGCCCCATAAAGCAAAAAGTATATTTGCCTGCAAAATTCGCAAATATATATTTAATAAATGCATTGTTGCAGAACAAATATGCAACACCATGAGACAAACGGATAATCGAAGAAACTTCTGAAAAAGTGATTTTGTCTTCAAACAGTCACGTGGTACCTCTAATCGAATTTTTAGTGTTGTCAATAAGAAAGAAGGCCATACTTTTGATATATAGAATTGCTAACTTAGCGTAGCACTTAATTAATGTGACCTTGAATTTTCTGCTATAGAGTATAATCGTTTGTCCTGTTGTTTATCTTCCAGTATAGTGGTTAGTGATGATGACTGTCGTACCAATGGGCTCGGCTTCTAATCCCAGAGTATACATGGATGTTTATAAGCGTATAGCGTCTATGTGGCAAAAGGATAATCAAAAGTGTTCAAAGTGCCATCTAATCTTCTTCTGGCTGTATGCATGGATAGAATTAGCATATATCAGATGGCATCCACGAAGATGACAAATATACCGAGAGGCTTGTCAATTCCTAGATGGGTGGTAATGCTAGTAGTCTTTCCTGGTATTCTTTATCAAAAGTGCAATAGTTTACAAATCTCGGCCTACTTAATGTATCTTCATGAACGCACAGGTACCCTTGCTTCAATCTGCACTTGCTCTGTGGCTTCGACTAAAGTGCTTAATATTAGTCATTGCGATGGCATTCCGTAATCATTCATATAATTCAAGAATAATGTTTCACATATTTTTAATGAACGAATGATTTCGGGATCGTTGTGGCTAAGCAACCATCTGTATACTTTGCAAAAACTGCCTAATGAAGTTAGTTGGCCAAAGAATGCCTCAACTACTAATGTCATGTATCAAATATCAAATGATTACTTGAAATATCAAATGATTCTTCTGATGTTGTCATAAGTTATCCTGCTGGGAAATGCTCTTTGGGACTAAGATTCTTTACATTAGCATAATGTACCTGACAGACATAAAATATTTTCTCTAATAAAATAGAAAAATACTGCTTGCTAATTAAGATAAAATAACACGCCAAACAAGTATTAATTTAGAAGTCAAACAACAAAAATCAGCATTATATTTGCAAATTTCCACAGGAGTAGTTTCGATGGTTTTACAGAGCCATCATACTTAGCTGCCAAAGCGCAAATGAACGAGATAAGATCTAGTGATTAGATAAGATAAGATAAGAATGGATGGACTGGTGTTAAGCTAATGGCACCATCTACAGATGAAACGAGAATTAAAAGGCTAAAGTCAAAGATGGATTGGAATTAGGGTCGGAAACAAGAACAGAAAGATTTTTTTAATGTGAAACACCTTTAGAAAATCTAATTCACCAATGAAAAATGTTTTGGAATAATTTTGGCTGCAGAAAATTTGAAAGTGCGATTTTTGGACCATTAATGCTCGACAATAGAGGACCTTCTGTGTTTCCAAGTGTGATTTTCTGACCAACAATGCTGGGCAACAGAGGACTTCTGTGTTTCCCTTTTTAAGGAAAAAGAAAGTTTACCTAAGGTTACAGAAGTAAGTTTACTTAAATTTACAAAATTAGGTTTACTTACAAAGACGAGAGAAATAGAAATGCAGTTACGGTCTCTTTTCAGCTGGTTGCAATGGACCTACTACTCACTTAAAAGCGTGCTTTTAGGGGATCCTTTTTATGAGTGTTCAGATAAGAGACTAGTAGCCTAAAAGAAGTTTTTTTGTTGGGTAGGGGGACGCGTCGGCGGTTTTCTACATAGGGTCTTGGCAACTGCTGAAATGGAGGGGAAATATTTTTAAAACCTGATTCAGATGCAGAAAGAGAAAAAAAAGAGAGAAAAGGAAAGATGAAAAAGAAGCAAATATCTGAGTTTCGTATTATGGTGAAGTGGGTGAATGGTAAATTTGAGCAGCTATAAACTCACATGTAAAATAGTGAATGGTAAATTTGAGCAGCTATAAACTCACATGTAAAATAGTGTCGGTAGGCAACACCAGGACAGCTCTTGTAGAAGCTAAAGTCAAGAATACCACACCTTCTTAAACGATCTTCTATTTATAAATTAATTTGTTTGTGTTTGTAATTTATTAAATTATTTTGGAAGCAGAAGCTGTGAAAAATGAGCAGTGCCCTAACCGGGACTCGAACCACGGATCTCTCGAATTCGCGTCGAGCGTGCTGACCACTACATCACGAAGGCATGCTAAAAAGGAGGGAGAAATGCCTTATAAATTTACATATATTTGTACTAAGCCAAAGACGTAATCTTGCAAATATTTGAACATGATAGCAAAAGCTTACTTTTTAGCTTATAATAAAATGCTACACTTTAAACGATTCAGTTATTTAAATTAAGAAACTGGTGAACAGTTATCATTGGTGATATAGGTGTAATGAAATACTAGAAATCTGGATTTTAAACTAACAGTAGTAGACAAACTCTGAGGCTTACCCTTTGTCCCTTTTTATTGTTTGGTGTGTTTTATGCATTCTATTCTTTTCTTAAGTAAGGTCAATTTGAGTACGGTTATTCTGGAATATATTTAATGGAACTTCAATACATCATGCAATAATTTTTTCTTTCTTTTAATTAAATTTTTTCTGAATTTTACATAATAAATTGTAGGAAAAAGTAGTGATTCTAATGTAAAAGAAACGTCTATAGATGGAGAAGAAATCTGAAAAAAAAAAAAAAAAAAAATGAAATAACTAATACCAAATAGAAACAACGTTTGAATTAGAAATTTTGTAATTTGACATATGTAAATATTTTTATTTCACATTTACGTATGAAATAAGTATTTTTGCTTCTGAGATAGAACATTCTAAAATTTCCAGTATTACTTTTCATCAGTTATGTAAATATTGTTAAATAGCATTTATACGAATTTTTTCCGATGCTTTTTACCATCGAAATATGATTTATTAACCAAATTACAATTGCCACCGAATATATGCTTTATATACTTTGCAGATCAGTAGAAATAATTCTAATAGAAATTGTTCATCATTAGGCTAAGACTCAGTTCAGATTATAATCATACTTAACGTCTATAGTTCAAGATTACGCGTAAGGATCAAACATAAGCTCTTCGAATTATACTTTCTTCAAGGCTTTATAGAAGACTAAGCTTTTGATGAATTCAATTCTTCGGGAAACATCCAGTTTCCTTTCTTGTAAACTGCATCCACCAAGTAAAATTAGCAGTGTCATAGGGTCAACTCAAAACAGAGAGGTTTTCTCAAACCTTTCAAAAGATTTCGTTCTTTCCTTTGAACAAAAATATGAATGTGAGACTGCATTGGAAGTTGAATTTAGTTCAAAACTAGAGGTTTAATTTAGATTTATTTATTCATCTGGGACAATATTCTCAGAAATAAGCTCTGTGGTCGATTTTCCTGATCTGATATATTCCTCTTGGGTTAAATAGAATTTCGGTTTAAATCTTTGTTCACCTTGAGCTATTTATAGTTCTATAAGAATTGTTATTCATTTCAAATTACAATAAAAGTTCAAATTTTCCCTATTCATTTAGTTTACTTACGCTAATAGTTCTGTTCAAACCAACAGAGCAAAAATATGAATTATAACATTAATAATGGATAAATTTAATTTTTATCCTTTAGGTGATGTCTAGGAATGTTTTCAAAGATCTGCATAACATGCAAAACTTTCACTGGAATAAACTTATGCTAAATAATTAGAGATATAAAGGATATTACCAATGGGTGATAATCTAAGAATAAGAGAGCTTACAGACCTAAAATGCATGAAATAAATCGACTTAAATAAATATTTTTATAGAGGAGGGATTCTAACTAAAGTTACTTATTAGGGCAAAATATAAGAGTATTTTAAGCATTAAAAAATCTGTAAGAGCTATTGAACTTTAAGCGCTTTTAAAGGAAACCCGTAACATTATTCCTTACAGACTTTTTACCTCATATGTAAATGGCATATCAGTGAATTACTCGGTAATTCTAAATGGATGAAAATAACTAATTTTTAATCATCACGTAGCCTAAAGAAAATTAATTTTTAAACATCACACAGTCACAGTCAATTGACTTCACACAGAGTGCCGACCATAATGTGACGCAAGCTTATGTATTTTGTAGAAAATTATTGTCAATGCATCTAAAACAAAAATGTATCCTTTATATTGCTCACATCAGAAATTTTAAAAGGAAATACTCGTTTGGATGACTTTGCACTTCACATTCGTAATATTACGGAATGCAATGTATTAATAATTTGTAACGTACTATACAAATATTTATAGACATTAAATTTAATTTGCACATTTTATTTATCGAAACACGATTTAATATCTGTGGAAAACAGAGTAAGAAATGCATACATCTTAATGTGATGAAAATGAAAATAATTTTCTCCTTGTATGATACTATTTTTTGTCGTATCTCTAATTA